AGGAGGAGGAAGGATCCCTGTCTGTCAAGAGCCCCTTCTCTGCCTCCAGTATCTGTCTTCTCAGCGGCGGAGGACTGATGCTCCGGCTTAGTGAGGACTCTCCGTTTTTGCAGCCATTACAAAACACACATCTAACAACACTGGGGGACATGAACGGAGTCAAATTAAATTTAGAATTCAATGAACACATTTCCTTACCAGGAAAAAAAATCACTCATAACATTCTATGGAATGATAGTACATTTCCTAGGAAGGTGTAATAGGGACAAAAATACACGCTCAACAGCAAATACTTATTTCAATCAATTTCCTGGCACAGGATTTCACAGGTCACTTGCTGATAACACGCTGTGGAATAATGCCACAGTGTGCTTCTCAAAGCCTACCTGACAAGCTGCCTGACAGTGGGGGAGTGCAGGCACGTGTCACATCAGCCCTCTAATTGGACACAAGGACCTTCCTCCGTGGAATCTTGTCGCGATCCGCACAAGCTCACAAGGCCTTCAAACCGGGGCCTATCTAACTTGGCAACCAGAGTCTGCTCCACTCCCACGGAGGCAGTGCTAAATACCAGCGTTGTAATGAGACAGGCAGGTACGGAGACCCGACTAGTGGATAACATGCTTTGACACATGCTAAAACTGTTGTGCCAACCGGTTACAACCCTCCTGACTGCAGGGATGACATTTATAAATGCCTATGTCATCCCTTCTTACGGTATCACCCATCATGCTGCAGCGGGGAGCGATTCACTGAGCAAATACATACACACATATATATAGATAGATATATATACATATATGTGTGTGTGTGTGTGTAGGCAGGGTAGTCAAAAAGTGCTAAGACAGCTGTTAATAAGTAAAACATCGCTGCGACATCTCGACCACTTGAACGCATTTTTGTTGAAAGTTTATAATAATATACATATATATATACAGTATATATATATATATATATATATATATGTATGTATATGTACAGCATATATTTAAGAGTAAGTGGGTAAATAGATTTCGGTAGAAATATCCGAACATTGGAATACATTCTCTGGAGTTATCCTCTAAACCTCATCTGTTTACATATTTCTCTGAACGCCTTTGATTAGAGCATATCTTTGCTGTAGGCCACACCCCAAAAGTGGACAGCAACCGATGTACCACAGAGTACCACACCACACCCCACCCTGCAGGACAGGAAATGAAAAGGGAAGTGTCCCATCTGATCAGGGTTTTTTTTTTCCCAGTCTCCGACATCAAAGTAGCGGCAGGGCGGGGAGGAGACTGAAGTCAGTCCAGAGTCACCGGCTGGATGGCAGCGGACCCTGTCTGATCTGACCTGATAAAGTGGCCCTTGTTTATTTATTTCATGTTGTTCTGTAAAGGATGGTCCAACATGACATGACATTCCTCTCTCATTCCGAGACTGGAAAATGAAGTGGGTTGTAGTCGTTAGTTTGTATTGAAGAACTTTGTATTTTTGTTGTTGTTTTTATTCCATATTTTATCTATTTATTTGTGAGATTTTTTTTGCTCTGCTAAATGGCCACTAGAGGGATTATAAAGACATCTACGTTAACGTGTTATTTTAATTCATAAATCAAGAAATGTGGTTGAACCTTGGCTGAAAAACCCCTACTTTCTCCTACACTCTCAGCATCTTCCCTTCCGTCCCTTACACGACTGACATTTTCGTGATCTCCACCGGTATTGAGTGAAGCACAGATGACCTCTTTGTCCTTATGTTGATGAATGACTGCCTCATACCCATTTTGTCAGATTTTGGTGCAGTGGAGTCGATAGCGTCACCTTGACGAGGAAACTTTGTAATCCATCAACCCTCAAGGCTGTCTGGCCTCAACCACGGTCTGGCAAGAGCAGTTCACTGTACGGGGCATCTGCTTTGTCCGAAACCGCTCGCGTGACGTGACGTGCCGCATGTTTGCGCGCTCTGCGCCTATAAAGTGTGTGGTCCTAGAATGGCTGTTATTACTCCCGCTTTACAGTGAAGGAGAAAAGGGGAGGTAAAAAAAAAAAAACAAAAACACTTGACTTGTACTAATAGCCGAGAAACCATGCTGGTCAACAAAGGTCTGAAGACGAAGCACCCTGTCAGTGCCCAGCTTGGGAAATTAGCAAATAATGTTCCCTTCCCCCTGACAAATGTGTGACAGCTCGCCTTCGCCAATCATTCTCTCCTAACGTTATGATGCATGTCCTGGATCCCCACTGGAGGATACAGGCGAAGTTTACTGACCCTCAATTTAGCCATGACAAATGGGGTCCCGGTAAATGTGCGTTTTCTGGGGCGCGGAAGGGGTTCATTTTAAGCAATCCTGGTTATGTGGATGTCACTGATTAGGATAAATAGTGGCTGACTGTGTTAGGACTGCTTGCAGAACCACATTACCAGGGGCCTGAATTGTTGCCCCTGGAGTGGAGCTCTCGTGGAAACTAGGAAACCAACAGCTCTGATGCAATTAGGAGCTTAAATTGGAGAAATTGTACGGTCAAAGTTTTTATTTATGATTTGCTCTTTCGCATGCGCTTTGGCTATGCAGCAAAAAATGGTCAGGATGCCGCAAATTAGGGTGACAATTGACTGAAAACGACTTTTCCTTTAAGGACTGTGTGATGATACTGGCAGTCACTGCTGGCGTTGCCTCTATTAGAGCATAAAGTATAATAAAGTATTGACATGAAAACAGCCCGGACTTTCTCCTTTTGATTTTCTACAACCTTGCTGACAGCCGGTTCTACCAGACCTGTCTGGGCCAATGGATAACCAATACATAGATTGGACAGAGGACAACCTCTAGGGGCGACGCTTTCCTATAAGGTAGAAGGTACGGACTGTAACAAATACTAACAGTAGCCGTCGTGTCACGTATTTAAAAAAATGTGGTAATTAAAGGAGAAACATGAGCTTTATATGAAATGTTCTAGATTCACAGCAGTTTTAAAGCAGTACCGGTCAATGCCAGGATTATTAATGTGGACCACAGCGCCCTCTCAGAATGGATTGTGAGTTTTGGAACTCTTCCAGGCTGGGGACATGTCCCTCTGCTGTTCAAACGGACTGCGTGTTGACACTTGGTAATATGTGATAATTTCATGAATTGATCCAGTTAAATCTCCACCACGAGGTCAAAGGGCCTAAAAAAGGCGCCGCCCTTTACCCGAGGTTGAAGTCGTACGCTTCGATGGTCCAACCTCTGATGTGGACGACATCTTCTAGTGAGACATTCATTGTGTTTGGTGCGCGCGGCGTCCTACGTGTCAGGCCAAGCAATTCGCTATTGTAACTGGAGGTCATTTGAAATGTGTTTGCCAGTTCCGAGCCATTTGTTTAAGTGCCGCGTTACGGGCGGAAATGCTACGATTGAAAATAAAGCGTCTCACTCTTAAGTACGCGATCCTCCTCCCTGTACTCAATGCATCAACCAATTCGCGTTTTAATGTGTGAGAGAAGTAGATAACACCCTTCCACGTAGCAATTACGGCACTCGCAGGATCCAGTGATACCTAGTTAGAGCTTTATGCATTCCACTCTCTTTAGCGGTTCCATTCGTTCAAGTGTCAGCCCTGGTACAATCAAGGTGAGCCACACAGGGGACTGTGGAGAAGAGAAGGACCGGACCTGTCTATTGGTGACTTTGGCTTTTAATTCAGCGCACTAATCAATTGTACCACCGTTGCCTCCAGGGGTAATTGTATCTTTCTACTAACTGGAAGTGAGTAGGAACCCGGGGAAGACAGAGAGGAAGAAATGAGGGGGGTCAACAAAGATAGAGAAAAGGGGACACGTTTCCCCCCAGTAAAACCTGATGGTAATCATCCCAATCCGCTTAGCCTCTGTGACTAATGGGGTCTGTTCTTAAGGGACCTGGCACTTTCACCAGGGTGCTATAGAAGCCATTAATGTCTTAACTTATACACCTTCTCAGGGCTGCACGGTAACATGTGTATACACACACCGAGACAGGGAGGTTCCCTCTCCCTCTCTCTCTCTCTCACACACACACTCATGCACTTTATGCAGCCACACTACACTCATGTTTCATTATTCTGGTGCCTCGTTGGCCTCTGCTCCGCTCCTGCAGGGGAGGTTAAACGCAGGAGAGCTGGGCCAGACTGAACAATATTTGTATCTTGAATAAATAATAGTCAATGGCAGAAACACGTATTAGTTTGTAAAGGAGTAGTTACGTCTATTTTTTTTTTTTTTTTTTTTTTCTGTGGCCCACACTTTGCAATTCTGAGGTGCTCAAGGCCAAGGCTGAGCTGAAGGTCTGGGGGAAGTGAGAGTGCTTTTGACGCGGCCCTGTTTCATTCTGTCCATCAGAGTTAGAATAGACAGAGGCTTCCAGGTCAGACAGGGTCTGACCCCACCTCCAACCTCTGTCTCCTCACCAATGATGACAGATAAGACCACTACTTCCTTCTGTTAGCCAAGATAATCAGATCCCTGACTTATGGTGTGACACACACACACACACACACACGTTTTTTTTCAGTCTTTACACTGCCTCTCTCCTATAAATAACTTCAGACACACACGTGCACTTAACCTAGATATTGCTTTTCTGATTCATAAAAAAAAAACAACCCACACAAAACCACATGTTGCTGTATGAAATCAGCAAATTAGCAGAGAGCATTATCTGTCTCACAACAGGACAGATTAAGAAACTTGGCAGAATGAGTTATCCTGACAGCTTGAGTTTAACAGAGCTTGGCAGCGCCTGTGTATGATGGCAGGTCAGAGGGGGATCGTGTTGCGCTTGTAGAAGCCCCTCCATGAAAACACCTCCTCACTGTCCATGCAGAGCGAACACATTTACATTCAGCGAGCAAGGCCCTGGTTAGTCCATTAATAGCTCCTGGACCTGGGGCTGAGGGCTCCATCCAGACAGGGAGAGGAGGAAGGGGTGGAGAGGGAATTTGGGCATGGGAACAGCCTGCAGAAAGAGAGCGAAGGAGGGAGGGAGAGGTTGGACTCACCAGTGTAGACAAATCTCCCAGGGGCACCTTTGCAAAACTGCTTGGACTTGTAGGACAGCGTGACTTCCACAACACCGGGAATGTGCCGAGGTGGAGTCTGGACGCGGATTGCGTGTGGAGTTATGAGCTGGATTAGGCGGGAACAGGGAGAAATGAAATAATGAGCCCTCTGTGAAAAATCAGCTGTTCTGTTGTCAGTGTCTGCGAAAAGATTTTTAAATTTCTTTAACTCCGTCTCTGACGTCCCATCTCCAGCCCCGGTCATCTTACCTCGCTCCATACGAGCATCGTGCCGAACACAACTTGAAGGCCGTCAAAGAAGTTGTCCCCTATGAGGATGACAGTGGCTCCTCCGGTGGTCCATCCCTCGCTGGGGCTGATAGCCTTGATGCACGGGGTGGCTGCTTATCCAAGACAAAGAGAAGAGCAAATTCAGCACCTAGGATTCACCACTCGGATCCTACGTCTTTTTTTTTTTCCCACACAGACACATCACTGTATCACCCTTACATGTCTCAATGATATGTCACAAAGACATACCATGGAAATTGCCCTCTGGAAAAAAAGAAAAAAATGATGGATTTGTCCTTTAAGGCATGAGAATCAAAATCATTTATCAGCTTGCTGGAGTGGTGTAGTTAAGCAGACCCTTCAAATGGTCCACTTCACAAAGGCTAAACGCTGGGCTCGCCAGGAAAATGATTTGATGGAGCAAATTATGTGTCAGGGCAAATGTAGCTCTGAGAATTGATTAAGCATGCACCCGCGTTTACAGTCCAAATTTCAAAGTTGAACACGTCTTAAATGAGTCAAGGGGACAGGCGGTTTAAAGTGGAAATGACAAGCTGAAGCCTCGCTGCTTCACCTTATTCCGTTACCTTTGTTCTGCATATGCAGTACAGTGAAGACAACCAACCAGTGTAGTTTCAGGTTTCATAACGTGAAATGCGCTCATGAATTATTCAGAGTGGATTTTTTCTCGCTCTCTCTCTCTCTCTCTCTCTCTTTTTGTGATCGATTCAATCCATTTCATATTGTTTATTACAATGCTTTTCATCTGGCATGACTTCTGCTACAAATCTCTGCCATTCATCAACGGTCGGGGTTGTTATTATAATCTAATTTGAGTGATCTGGTGCCTCACATTCACTGTCATTTGATGCATTACCTTAATATGGTGTCGGGCACAACACCGTGTTTACAACGGAAATGGCGTGACAGCGCGCCGTAAAGCTGCAATATCAAATTTAATCTATTTCCATCAATATCTTTTAACACGCCATGAATTGTGCGTGTTTTCCTGCTCCTCAAAATGTGAGCAACTGTTTCAGCCGGTTCCCCTTCACCTTACAAGCTCACTTCTGAACCTCTATTATCCTTTCCATCCAGTAAGTAAATCACAGGCCGCCATTGTTGTATGAATCACCTCAGACAAGACATCTCCCTTTGTTTGCCTTGCTGTTGGGTCTGTTCGGGTCATGTTTGCTCTCCCTCTCTGCCTATAAAGTGTACACACACACACGCAGACACACACGCTGGTACTACAGGGAATCTGACTTTAACAGGCGCTGTTGACTTCATGCTAATCACCTCATACAGATTTTCATTTGTGAGGCCTAGAGGAGTGACATTTGCTTTCCTTAATTGCGAAGCGCGGCGTCTGAAAGAGGACCAACCCTCTGTGGGCACGCCGGGCCCCCTCTGAGGGCCTGACCTTCATCAGTGCGGACGATTACAGCAAATAATTCACCCTTCAAAATTACTGTAAACAAATTGACTTTGGGGAAGAGAGAGAGAGAGAGAGAGGGAGGGAGGGGCAGCAGGAAGAGGGAGGAAGGGCGAAGGGAAAACGGCCGGAGAGGGGGGGTGGCGGGGGGGGGGGGGGGGGGGCAGCTGCAGCCTGGAACCGCGGAGAAGCATTCACACACACACACACACACAAATACACACAAAAAGCATCACGGAAATCCCAGTGCCCCCTCCCACAAACAGAAAGAGCACGGCGAGGCAGCCACCGAGGCCCTAAGCCGTCCACCCTTCTGCCTGTAAATTTGCATATGTCTCAATGCACAGACAGAGAGGGGAGCATGTGCTGAATGGGGACCGTGGCGAAGTGGATTACACAGTCAGCGCAGGCGATCTGATGACAGACACGCACAATGCCCCCCCCCTCGGCAGATGATAGGCATCATGAGGAGTGGACGGATGAGGACGCAAAGAGTCCGCCCTGCCAGTCTGGGTGACTGTTGCGTCAGTAAATCTTTAGACACGCAGGTTTCTGCGAGGAACTTTAGCAGCTGATCCCTGACCTGTCCCTCAATATTTTTTTTCCCCCATTTCTGGTTAGCAGTAGGTTTTTTTAGCAGAGACACCCAAACTGATCTGAGATCAGTGCGGAGGAGGTCCCAGCTCTCAAACTGTGACGCTCAAACAGGTCTGATGTGGCCTCGCCGAGCCGTCCTTTGTTCTGCCTGCTGAAATGTGTTGTAATTGTGCTGTGGGATGTCCAGATGGTCGGTTGATAGTGCAGCTGATGGGATTATACCTTTTACCTCTCCCTGGGCCATCTGTTCCCTTTGACTCTCTCTCTCTCTCTCTCTCACTTTCAACCTCTCTCTCTCTCTCTCTCCCTCCCATATTTTCTCCCTCTTTTCCTCCTTTCCACCTCTCCTTTCCCCTTCTTTTCACTCCCTCTCTTTCTTCCTCTTAGACCCAGCAGTCTGGATTCACTTGTCTTTATTGCATAAACCCTAACAGCATTACAGCCACTTGGCATGCAAATGAGGCAGGCGCTGCAGGCTCTATGCTGAGTCTCCTATATTGTCTGGGGCTCTATAATGGTGGAACTGAGCTAAGGAACGTGTGTGTGTGTGTGTGCGCGCACGCTGTTCATGTGTGTCAGCTGTGCGTGTGTTTGTGTGGGTGATGTTTTGTGTGAAAGGCCCTCTGTTTGTGAGCATGTTTATGCACCTCCGAGCCTGAATCTATACATGTTTGAGTGACAAGCCGCCGCAAAGCACGTTCGTGTTTGAATGCGTAATATGCTTGTTGTGAAACAATCCGCACAAGTGAGCCGAAATGGCTCACAGTCAGGATTCAGGTCTGCCATCTGTGGGCTATCACTGCTCTGGGCCAACAGGGGGCAGCAGGCCTTGATCAATATGAGGCTGCAAGTGCAATGTAAGCGAACGTGAGAGGAAGCCTCTCTCTCTCTCTCTCTCCCTCTCTCTCTCGCTGCCTCTCAGTCAGTTAGTCACATAACTGAGGCTTTTCGCCCTGTGAACTCCTGAAGAAGAATGTGTTGCTAATTTAAAGCGCTCTGTCTGTCTCTGGCTAACAGTCTCTGGCTAACAGTTTGGACACTTTGGAAAATAAGTTCGGTGGCTCTGCTCACCGAAGGCGACTCGAGCGAGGCCAGTAAACACTGTCGATGCATGCGACGCTAGTCTGACGTGATGCACAGACAGGAAGGAAGAGAGAGAGAAGCCATGTTTAAGTTATTAAGCCACGACGTGTTCAACTGGGCGGTTGACAATAGCTTATTTTCTCGCTTTGCCGGGTGTCACTCTGCTGCTTTGATGAGTGTGGTGAGGAGAGGAAGAAAGGGATGGGTTGAAGTAACCTGTAAAGAACACACACACACACACGCACACACGCACACATACGGAAAACACTGGTGGTCTCAGGGGAATAGGGGAACATGGAGGCGAGGGCTCAACCTCTTTAATTGCTCTCCTCATTAAGAAACCGGTTGCTAGGCGATCCACACCTATCGTGTCATAAACGTGAAACACACAAACAGAACGTCAGCGAACATAATGACTTTGGTGCTCCGGGCAGGACTTTAATTATTTGATTTTGTACTCCAGTAGAGGAGTCATTAATAAAGACAAAAACAAATAGATTAGCTTTTCCCCCACTAGGACTGGAGAGCACTGAGATATATTAATTGTGTAGTCTCTCTCTCTTTCTTTTTTTTTTCTTCATTTTTTTATTAGCGGTTGTTGTATTAAACATTACATTTGCTTTTGGTGATAGAACCATTAATGCCCATTAATGTGTGAGCAGCTTGTTTTAGTCAGTGGTGTATATAAACTGTTTGCCCAGCCATAATTGGCTCTTGAAATCTGAAGATAAGCAATTTGCACAATCTCTCTCAGTCAGTTCACTGCCCCTTTCTCTCTCTCTCTCTCTCTCTCTCTTACAATCTTTCAGCTGCGTGTGTGTTTCCTCCTGCAACTGGAGGCCGTGGAGGTCATAAGGTTATGTTTAGTGCGTTTTACTTTTTGGATTTCCCATGGTTTGGTGGTCGGTCTTTTCTCTGTTTTGGCTGAGCAGGCAATCAGTCTATCATATGGAATCAGTTGGAAGAAAAACAGTAAGTTCTGTTTTTCTCATAGTGCCCTCCACCCACCCTCCCACCACACACACACACACACACGCCGTCAAACCACCCTACCACCACTACCCCTCCTCCTTGGTTCACTCTCTGTTCTCCCCTGTTTTAGCTCTCTCACAGCTAAATCTGCAGAGCCCAATGACAGGAAATTGACCTCACAGCCAAATTCTTGAGCGATTTGATCACGTTTCACGTAGGCTTTTAAGACAGATGTAGGTGCATCAAGAGACTGGAATTAGTAGAACATTTTTGGAGTGATGAATTAGTCATCATTGTACTCATCGGGGAAATCCTCGTGACAGATTGACTCAGTAACGCAAAATGTTTTCTCCAGCAAGCTGTTTTGAAAGAGTCCAAAAGAGGAGTGAAAGTGATGGAGGAACAGAAGTTTTAAAGGAACTAGAAGCAGCTACGGGAGGTGTGTGGTTTGGGAAAAAAAAAAAAAAACATGGAGGGATGTCTTAAAAGAAAAGGAGAAGAAGAGTGTAGCAAATTATAAGATGTAAAAATGTGCCTACCATTCTCCAGATAAGGAGGCGTACCTTCTGAAGGGTCGAGTCTGCGAGCCCTTCGCCCATGTTTGGAATTGTTGTGTACAAACATGTTGTCAGAGACGGCCAACACGTGGCCGTCAACGTTGACGGTCGTCGATACGACAACCTGCAAGAAGAGGGAAACATGTCATCAAAAGTGAACGCGGAACCGTTAACCATACGTTCTATGATTCAATTTCCTCGTGGACTCGACCGTCTGTCGGTATTTTCTATTTTCCACTTTCTTTTGCGAACTTCTTCATAGAAATGTTTGCCTAAGAAAAATGATTACAGTGAAAGGTTAGCAGAATTAGCTTAATTTGACATGGTCAGAGAGGACACTATTTAAATATTTTTAAATAAATTCAATAGACATTATTCGTAAACTCCTGGGAAACATAACGCGACCCCAAAAAAAATCTCTTGCGACCCACCTGAGGGCCGCGACCCAGTCTTTGGGAAACAATGATTTAGAAGATTACATTTGGGTTTGTATAATGTAATAATCTGTCCAGTTCACTTAATTCATTGAACAGGATGTTACCACTGCGTACACAGCACCACCCGCAGGAAGGGTGGGGGTTAATGTTGAATACAGTAAGAGAGAACTGTTGCACGCGCATCCTTTGTTTACTAAAAGTGGGAATATGGTTTTATAGTAATGCCCCCTGATGTTGCAGGAGGCTGGGTGTGGGCTTTAAAAATCCTGCCGTGTTCAGGTACATGCCTGTTTGCTATTGATTGTTACTGTCAGACCTCTTGAAGCTGTTGTTCTCCTGGTCCATATCACATTACAGTTACCCTGCTTCTCAGCCATTTTGTTTTTGCTCCTCGCATTTGTGTACAGCTAATTGACTTTTCAATCACTAAAATACCATTTCCGTTTATCCACTCCACCAACTGTCATCACGGCTGAAGCTCAGAATTATTGATCAGCGTGTCCATCTATTTGAGGACGGAAGGCCTCCCTTTTAAAGTATTACTGGAGTCATTACCAACTCCACCGTATTCCATCCCATCACTCAGCAAACATTTTACTAGGATCCGATTCCAAGCCACACTCAGTATTTCATAATGCTTATTTTTGTTGTTGTTTTTTGGCCACCGCCGCTCGAAACAGGGAGCTCCATGTGAATGGCCAAAGTGTTTCAGAGCCGGAAACAGAGAGGCCCTCTCAGGTTCGCTTCCCCGGTAAGTGACCTCAGTGTAGCAGTGGAATTTAGGGGGGGTGCTTTTTTTTTTTTCTTTTTTTTTTTTGGTTGGTTTTGGGAAGGGTAGGGTGTGGGGGGTAGAGAAGGGAAAGTGAAAGAGCTCCATTCTTGTAAGAAGGTTCAGAGCTGGGCCAAGCCGAGGATGATGGATTGGGCCCTCTCTGGCCTCCAGCTGGTTTTTGGGGGTAATAAGGAGAGTGGAAGGCATGCAGAATACACCGCTTTGGCCAGAGAAACACCTATAGTGGAGCATCTGGGAAATCTATCTGAGAGGAAAAACTGTTGGAACAAATGATCGCATTAGGGTGAAATCTATTGTTTTAGACGTTTAGGCTGAAGAAAGACGTAAGATGCTTTGACTCAGTTCATGCATTCCTTTTGACACAGAGTGAGAGGTGAAACACCCTGGTAGCTGTCATGCATCAGTCCACATTCACCCTGAGGGAAGATGTGAGGAGTCAGGGGAGGTCTGATGGTGGTGACATCAGGAGGGGACACCCTGTCTCGTCTGTTTCATGTCCAGGCTTCCTCCTGGAGGATGCCGCCTCGTGTGTCTATCACAGAGCAGGGCTGTCAGTGACAGGCGCCCTCCTGTAGTTTGTCCCCGTTCTTATAGGACAGATCACACTAAACTCTCACTCTCTCACCTTGACCTAGTGGGCCGCTTGCGGTGAAAATGTCTGAGTAGGATGGATGGGTGGTTGGATAAATGGATCAGCAGTGGGAGTCAATAATTTCAAGGCTCAACTACTTGACACATTAGAAGCGAGAGGGTTAAAGAAGCAGTAAAAGTGCTCAACGGTCGTGTCCTTTCGGTGTAAATTGCAGCGTTTGTGAGACCCACAGTAATGATGGTTTTCAGATGGCTTACGACGGCGTTCACTGGCCGCGCGGAGAAACGCGCGCCTGACGCTAAGTGTGTGCATATGCGGGTAAGAAGGAGAGAGAAAATGGAGTGTGTACGTGCACGCGTGTGTGGACACAGGGAGTCGTGCGTTTCCACAGCTGGACAGATCCTGAGTTAACACTGTTGTTACATGTGGTCGGATCATCCTCCCCTGTAGGGGGGGTCGTAAACACAATTAATGGCACCTTTAAATTCTGCATACTTGTATGTGTCAGCGGCTGCTCGCTGATAAATATTCGGATTGGAGGGTAAAGGGTAAAAAACCACTTGGTCTTTTATGAGGCCGATAGTTCCAGTGATTTTCAGAAAAAAAATCTGATATTTACTTAAACGCTTTTTTTTTTTAATGGAAATTTTAAATATTATATTAAATGTTTAAATCTTGCACAATAGTTCGGTAAGACCATAAAGTTAAGTCGAGTCACCTGGAAACGTGTCTAACCAAAGTTCCGATTTTACTTTATATTTTTGCCACGAATACAGTTTTTAGTTTATATTGCACATATATCTGTGTGTTTTTGTGTGTGTGTTGCACCATAAGGATAAACTGTCACATGCAGACAGGGCATATGTGTGAAACGCATTACGTCACCTGGAATCTGCGCATGTCCCGTGGGTTCCCTGCATTCTTCAAACAGTTCTGATTGCACTTGAGGAAGAACTTTAGGAAGAATCTGAAAAAGAGGACAAAAGGGAATAAATTAATAATCACTTGATAATTCAGCACAGAGTGGTAGAATGTTTCCATAAGACTTCACACACACACACACACACACACACACACCCACTCAGTCATACAGTCAGAAACACCCTGGCGTTACGTGACCATTTGGGCCGTCGGTGACGTTTGGTAATCCCTAAAAATCAGGGCCATCAGCTCCTTTGTCATCTCCTCCCCTCACCTGAGATGGTGGGTCTTTCCCAACACCCATCTGCCACTGATATACAGGAAGTCACTTGATATTCCACCCACCTCTTTAATCCCAGGACACCCCCTGTGCAATTAAAGTTCTCCTGTTCAATAGGGAAGCAAATGAGGCCCACCTGTGACCAGGTCTTGTTTGAAGAGCATCAGGGATAAAGGACCTAACAAGGTGAGAGCGCGCCACAAAACTTATAGTCCTGTCAGGCAATTAGGCGCACACACACACCCAAACCGTATGCCACATACACACACACACACACACACATACACCTAACGCATACACACACACACCCCTGCACTTGTGGGTGGGTGGGTGGGTGAGGCAATTATGCCACAAATTACAACCTGGCTAATCGTCTCTGAACAAATGTCACGTCTGAGCGAGATTTGGCCTTGTTTAGTTTGTAAGCTGCCTTTCTCTGACACTCCCGGGTCGCTCTCAAATTCTCAGCCGGTACCTGTGGCCTGAGAGCTGCGTTTGAGATGTGGTCACATGGTGAAAAGATTCACAGCTCAGGTTTAAAAAAAAAAAAAAAAAGTAGCCAATTGTGTAAAAAAAAAATTATGGTTCAACGCCACAGATTTCTCTGATTCGCTATAAATACCTCGCCGTGAGGTTTATTTTTTCATCGCGCTTGACTCGCGCTGCTTTATGCAACACCGTGGTTTCTGTTGTGAGGAGAATTTGGCTGCGTCTCACTGGATTACCATAGACTGTACGGCCGTTTCATTCAGCTGAGCGCGGTGGCTTGTGTGGCCAGCGAGGACGTTTCACAACACTTAAGACGGCCTCGTTCGTCCAGTAGGATCCTGGCCAGGCCGTAAATCAGAGTTTGAAATGACCCTTCTAACCCTGGCCACATTAACACATGCGCTGGTCATTTAGAAGCGTTCTTCGATAGACTCCTATACCCTCGGCTTCGCTGTGGGCCCAGGAGGGAGAGGAGAGGTGAGAAAATATTTTCACTCCGCGTCCAGGAGCTTTGGCTCGGACATCAATAAAAGGACGTTTTAACCCATGCCAGAATGCTGATTGCCTGTCGGTGTGTGGTGAGGCCATAAAAAACCCCGACTTGTCATTAGTGCATTTCACTTGATTGTGTTCACTGTGTTTTCAGGTTGCATCTGTTGGCTGATCATCAAAATGACCATTATGTACTCTAATTCCCTGACCCTGTTTTTATTTCCCCAAAGAGTCATAATGTAGAGCAGCAGACATCTGCGGAAAGCAGCCCTGAAATACGACTTTTATTTGTCTGTCGCCTCTCGTACAGATTGGGTAAGGCCGCTGCGCGAGCGTGCGCGAGCGCAGCTATGCCCACGCTTGTGTGTGTGTACGTGCACGCCACCAGCCATTGGTTAACAATTTACTGTTTGTCAAAGGGAGGAATAGAATATATTTCCCAGGCAATACGTTGACTTCATAAAAGAAGCCCATTACTTCCAGAGTTAGTCTTGTCTCCTTTCTAGGATACTCTTACCTACTGTTCCTGTCGCGGTGAAGGCGAAAGTTACGGAACAATAAAAGGCACGAAACGAAGCGCCCACGCCTTCATAAAGTTGCTGCTTTATGTTTGCTTTTATGAAAGCAATTACGCACGCTTTCCTTTTGCTAAAAAGATAAGCTTAATTTTCATAGTCCACAGTAGTGGCATTGCTATAGCATCCATTACATTTGAGTTGGTTAAGATTCTCCATGAGCACAGTGCAAATTGGTCCTCGGTGGAAAGGGGAGCAATTAAGACGAGGCCCCGCTCTCTCTCTCTCTCTCTCTCTCTCT